TGTTGATTATGCTGAAATCTTTGCTCCTGTTGTTAAATTCACTACGATTAGAATGATGCTTGCTCTTGTTGCTCATAATGATTGGGAAATGAAGCAAATGGACGTCACCACTGCTTTCTTGCATAGTGATTTAGACAAGAAAATCTATATGACCCAGCCTGAGGGCTTTGTGGATCCCATGAAGAGTAATCATGTGTGTTTGCTTAGGAAGGCCTTGTACGGCCTGAAGCAGTCCCCGAGACAGTGGAATATCAAATTTGACCAGTGCATGTCATCTTTGAAATTTCACAAGTCCGAGTGCGACCATTGCCTATACTTTAAAAATACTTCTTCTGTGCCTGTATTTTTATTGCTTTATGTGGATGACATGTTGATTGTTAGTCCTTCGGGTGACGCCATTAAAGGTGTGCAAAAGCGTCTCAGTGAGAACTTTGCAATGAAAGACCTAGGTGATGCCAAGAGGATCCTAGGCATTAACATTGTTAGGGATAGGAGTAAGCGTGTGTTAGTACTCAATCAGATTTCATACATTAAAAAGATTTTGAGTAAATATAACATGCATTCTGCTACTACCGTCTCTATCCCTATGGCGTCCCACTTTGTGTTAAGTAAGGATCAGTCTCCCAAGACTGCTCCTGAAATTGCTAAAATGAAATCTGTGCCTTATTCCAATGCTTTTGGGTCCGTGATGTACCTCATGGTGAGTACTAGACCCGACATTGCCTATGCTGTTAGTTGTTTGAGTAGGTATATGTCTAATCCTGGTTTGCCTCATTGGAATGCTCTTAAGTGGTTGCTTAGGTACTTGAAATCTACTGTTAATCATGGGTTGGTTTTCACTAGGTGTTCTGAGGGTGTTAAGTTGAGCGGGTATGTGGATTCAAATTTTGCTAACGATAGAGACAATAGGAAATCCACTACCTCTTATGTGTTTACCCTTTGCGGGTCTTGCATTAGTTGGAAGTCTCAACTTCAACCCATTGTTGCCCTCTCCACTACTGAGTCCGAGTATGTGGCCGCTACCGAAGCTTTTAAGGAAGCCATTTGGCTTAAGCGTCTCCTAACGGAGATTGGTAGTCTTAATCAGGACATTTGTGTGTTTTCTGATAGTCAATCTGCTATTCAACTGTGCAAAAATCATGTCTTTCATGATAGAACTAAGCATATTGATGTTAGATTTCATTTTATTCGTGATATTGTTAGTGCAGGTGATATCAAGTTGATTAAAATTCCATCTGAATTTAATCCTGCTGACATGGGGACTAAATGTCTCTCTGTCGAAAAGTTGTTGTCGTGCAAGCTCACGTTAAACATTGATTGCGGTTAAGTTGCCTGGTGATCTTACCCCTTTGCCTAAATGTGTCTTTGTGATCATTCGGGCAATCCAGCGATGATGAGTCTCAAATTATTTTAGAGCGTTGTGCTCTACACCACTATGGTCCAATAAGGTGGAGAATGTGTTGGTATTGGCCCTCTTTATTCCCTAAGCCCAATTCACCTGCCCGGCCCATGTATTTTGTTCTCGCTACTGGTTCGCTCCTCTCTTACGCATTTCTTCCGTCTTCCGTCTCCTTCCTTGTGCGCTTCCTGCGTATCTCATAGTAAGGTAAGTTACCATCTTTGTTCTTGGTGTTTCCCCTATTTATATTCTCCTTCTGTACGTATTGAGGAGCGCGAGAAAAAAACCCTCCTTCCTCCACTGTAGGGCGAATTGGCCGGAAAAAGGTGTGCTGGCTGAAGCCCCTTTCCCCTTAGTGATTTTAGTGGTGTTCTTCATCCTTTGTGGGTGAAATTTGAACGAGACCTGAGCTGGATTCTAGTTTCAACACGGGTAAACGGCTGGACTTTCTCTTCCTTATATAGGACGATTAAATTCATATTTGGAAACTGAATCCAAACATATTTCGTTTCCGAGTTCTGTCTAGGCTCTAGCCATAGAAAAATGGAGTCATACTCCTCTCCATTTCCTTCTTTTCATTTATTCTCTCCATTTCTTTTTCACTCTTTTTCTCCTTAAAAAAATAATTAAACCCCATCTTTTCTTTCTTCATACCTCACCACTTCCACATCTCACTCTATCTCTCTCCTAATGGAGAATTCGAGTTACTAGAGAGGAGCTAAATTCAGAAAAATGATATATGAAATGATAAATTGGAACTTTCCTGATTATTTTCCTCAGTGATTTACAGAAGAATAGGTTTTCTTACGTGGAACTGGAAATAATGAAAATATTTTTCAAGACGGATGTGCTTAATAGTCATGCATTAAACTAGCCAAGCAATTGAAATGCATAAGCCTTGAAATTTGGCATGTAGCCATGTACCGATGTACGGATGGAAGAACTATACTCAAATAACTTATATAGAGTTTTTTATGAAACCTTCTTTTATTGTATGCATAAATTCAAATAAAACTTATATGTTCAGTCACTTAATTATCCCGTCTTATGACTATGAGTCACATAGGTTTATCTTTTATATATATATATATATATATATATATATATATATATATATATATATATATATATATATATATATATATATATATATATATATATATATATATATATATATATACACACACACACCGAGTACTTTTTAATTTTTTTGTTAAAAATAACTGTTCGTATTGGACACATAGCTAAAATAAGAAGAAGATTTGACAATTATTTGAGGCTATATCAACATACGGAATAATTTATTTTTCGGGTCCTTTATGATAATGAAAATATTTTTCAAGACCAGAATTGATTAAGTTCTTATATATAAGTAAAAAAAAGAAAAATATATATAGGTAATAAAAAATAAGTAAAGGTATTACAAATAAGGCGACAATGCATTCGGGAAATATTGCAACAAATATTTTTGGGCTTTTCCCTTGAATATTACTTAATTGAAGCAATTTTCCACAAAAGTGACCATTTTTATAAAAGGACAAAAATGTGACTAAGAAGGTCACATTTATGGAAAAACATTTTATCACTGATTTTTTATGTCACTACCAGATATTTATTATGTCACTATTATAAGTCACTATCAGATTTTTATGTCACTTATGAATGTCACTAGCTCACTATAATCGCCGAAAAATTTTCCGACAACCTATTCCGGCTAAACTATCAATACTACCGCCGCCCGTGTCACTACTATTACTACTGCCACCCGTGTCACTACTATTACTACCGTCGCCCGTGTCACTACTATTACTACCGACCACAGTGACACACCCAAAGTGCCACCGACCAGGCGACCACCACTATCGACCACCTCTGCCGCTGCAGGCCACCACGACAGTTTCCGCCACCCGCCACCAACCGTTACATTCTGCCTCGAACTCCTACAACCAGTAGCCTAACACATCTACAAGGACGCCATCAGGTCTGCGGATTCTGGACAAAAAAAATTCGGATTTGCACAGCCTTTAAATATGTGGATTTCAGACAGAAGAAAGGAGAAGAAGATGACATCCGAGCAGAAGCACGGCGGCGAGACGCGGTGAGGCGGCGAGACACGACGAGACGACGCGGCGAGGCGGCGAGACACGACGAGACGCGGCGAGGCGAGGCGACGAGGCGCGACGCGGCGGCTTGGCGGCGAGGTGCGTGAGTTGAGGCAAGGCATGGAGCTCTTGATCTGAAGGAAGAAGAGAGAAGGGTGCAGTTTGGGGTGAATGACTGGTTGGGGAGGGAGGGGGTGATTTAATTTAAGTCAGTTTTTTGTCCAAACAAAAAGTGGTCATATTTTTGTCTTCTCAAACTCCACTAGTAATATTTAGGTCATTCTTTCAATATTTTTGTCGGAAAAATTGATTGCAATAATCCCAACTATTGGTGGTCCGCTCATAATAATTCCAACTATCGATTATTTCAGAATAATCCCAACTTTTAAGGTCCTTCCGACAATAATGGTCCAAGGTGACCGACTATAAATAAATTCTTATAGTTTCTAAAGAGATATAACAGGTAATCCCTATAAATAATCCCGAATTTTAATTTTTACGCTTAATTTCTATTAAAAAACAACTTTTTAGAGCAGGTAATATGTGGTCATGCACCATTATTGGCGGACGGTCCATATAGTTGGGATTATATAATAATAATCAATAGTTGGGATTATTATTAGCGGACTAGCAATAGTTGAGATTATTATTTTCAATTTTTCCTATTTTTGTCTATTAGGTAAATGTAATAACTTTTTTGGAACTTGAGTTATGAAACATCGGCATTCACTAATTGCAAACAAGATTTATTGCTTCCTACATAAGAAGCAATCAATATACGTTCAAAAGACGAGTTTGTGCTCTTCGAACCGTCAAAATGATCTCCTATTAGCCAAGAGTAATAGTACGTAGTAATTGGTTAATTACTGAACAATCAAGTGATGAACAGCCCGTTTGGTAATAGTAAGAGCACATTTTGGTGATCATGTTTTTTGATTTATCAGACCAATCAGACTACTTTTTCACCAAATATGTAACTTTTGATTTCGCGCGTTGAATTGTGTAATAATAAGAAAGAATAAGGTTGAAATTACTTTTATAACTATATTGACTGAAGTTCTCATAAGTCCATAACAACTCATTTTATCTATTTTTTCATAGGGAGTATATTTTTTTCTTTATTTTATTAATAAAAAATATTTCAAATAGAATTTTTTCATAAATCAATCGAATCAGTCAATTCAGTAAAAAATAAATCACTCGTACTACATAAAATAACTGAAATGATCACTTACAATAACTTCAGTCAATCTAGTCAGAAAAATAACTTCAATTTTACTTATTTTGATTATTAAATAACCCGGTGCTCGAAATTAAAAGTTACTCCCTCCATCCAACTAAGATTACCACAATCTTTCCCTTTTGAACTATCACACTAAATGGTCTCATACTAAATTGATAAAATTTATATAATTCTAAATTATTCTTACTTTACTTTATTTTTATATACGATAGTACTACGTATTACACTTTTCTTAATGCAAAATTAAAATGTGCCGCTCAGTTACTCCAAACAAAAGAATGCACGAGACTTCGACATCTCCAACACAAAGCTGGTTAGTGTTTCATATTCTTTCACACTTCGGCGGGAAAGATTTTTATTTAAAGAAGGCCACGAAATCAGAAATCAGGCGAACCCTAAACTTCCCGGTCAACATTACTACTCCGTACTAAACACTTAAACAGAAGGCGAAAGGAACTCTGAGAAAATGGAAGACAACTCGCATGATGTGGAAGAAGAAAAGGGAAGAATATCAACGGAAGAAGAAGAAGGTCCGGCTATAGGGATCGATCTTGGAACGACGTATTCTTGCGTCGGAGTATGGCAGCCCCAACATGGCCGCGTTGAGATCATCACCAACGATTTAGGCAACCGTACGACACCGTCATGGGTTGCCTTCACCGACGTTGAACGCCTTATCGGCGAACCTGCCCAGAACCAAGCCGCAATGAATCCTTCCAATACAATCTTTGGTTCGTTTTCTTCCTCTACAGATTTTGATCCGTGTTTTCTTTTTTGCCTTTATTTTTAAATTGATACTGTTCAATATCCGCCCGCAAATGTCATCTAGTGTGTCATGTTTTATTTATACACATCAGTAAATGAATCAATCACTCAATGTACTACTTCGATTATGATCCATTTCTTTTAGGGTATTACTCCGTATTAATAGAGTTATTGAAATCATTTAAGCTTAAATATCAATGTTAAAACTATTCACGCTGTGGGCCTAAATACATAGACATCTATATTCGCAACTTATGTTGTTCACCCTACGTTTCAACTATACACCAAAGTGATACCAACCAGTTCAGGCCTAATCAAATCTCCATTTTTTCTTTTTTAAATGTCTTCCTATAAACTAATTGCCGCGTTCGAGTAGGAAAAATAAGATCTTCCTAGCAAGACATGTCTCACAAGTTTGACTGTTTCCTGCTTGTGATAGACAGATGTGAAAAGGCTGATAGGTAGAAAGTTTGGCGATGAAATAGTACAAAATGACATGAAACACTGGCCATTTAAAGTCATAGCTGGTCCTGACAGTGGCTGTGGAGAGAAACCTATGATAGCTGTGACATACAAGGGTGAAGAGAAGCAATTTGCAGCTGAGGAGATATCATCAATGATCCTCCAAAAGATGAAGAGCATTGCAGAGGCTTACCTGGGAAAACAAGTCAAGAGAGCTGTTATTACTGTTCCTGCTTATTTCAGTGATGCCCAGAGACAATCAACAAAAGATGCTGGTGTCATTGCTGGGCTTAATGTGTTACGCATAATCAATGAGCCCACTTCTGCGGCAATTGCCTATGGTCTTGACAAGAAAGGAACTGTAAGTGGAAGTGGTGATTCTGCTGTGAAGAATATACTGGTATTTGATCTCGGTGGTGGCACTTTTGATGTATCTATAGTCAAAATGGAGGAGGATGTGTTTGAAGTCAAAGCAGTTAATGGAGACACTCACCTTGGCGGAGGAGATTTCAATAACAAAATGGTGAGTCACTTTGTAGCTGAATTTGAGAAGAAACACAAAAAAGACATTAGTGTAGACCCTAGGGCTCTTGGCCGGCTCAGAGCAGCCTGTGAAAGGGCAAAGAGAGTTCTCTCTTCAGCAACTGAAACATCCATTAACATCGATTGTCTCTTTGAGGGTATTGATTTCTCTTCAAACATCACACGTGCGCGCTTTGATAAAATAAATCTTGATCTGTATATAGATTGTATGGAACCAGTTGAAAAGTGCTTAGAGGATGCCCACATGGAAAAAAGTGACATCCATGATGTTGTTCTGGTTGGTGGTTCTACTCGAATCCCAAAGGTTCAGGAATTATTACAAGACCTGTTCGAGGGAAAGAAACTCTGCAAAAGTATAAATCCTGATGAAGCTATAGCCTATGGAGCGGCTTATCATGCTGCATCACTAACTGGTGCCTTATTAGGTGTAAATAACGAACTCGTGCTAGTGGATGTTACTCCGTTATCTCTTGGTATTGAGGTGAATGTAGAAGGTCTGATGTCTGTTGTGGTGCCAAGGAACACCACTATACCTACAAGTATTACAAGGGAAAACTACAGCACTGGTTTTGACAACCAAAGCAGATGTATGTTCTCAGTATATGAGGGAGAGATGCCCATAGCAAAACACAACAACTTCCTGGGTGTATTTTACCTTGATGACCTTCCTCCAGTACCCAAAGGAGAGGCGAAATTCAATGTCAATTTTGAGATTGATGCCAATGGTATCTTGACTGTTTCTGCAGAACTGGCGGGAAGTAACAACAAGAAACAAATCACTATAACTAATCACAGTCAAAGGTTGTCAAAGGAGGAGATTGACCGCATGGTGAAGGAGGCAGAGGAGTATAGGGCTCAAGATGAGGAGCGCAAGAGGGCATCTGCTGCTAAAAATGCTCTAGAGAATTACATTCACGAGGCGAGGGGGATTTTGAGAGTCTGTGGAAAGAGGGTAGAGATGGAGGAGGACATGATTGTTTTAGCAAAGGCAATTGATCATACAGTTAATTGGTTTGATTGGAATTACCTGCTTGGTGATGCTCGCATCTTTAAGGAAAAGATGAAAGAGCTGGAGAACAAATGTGAACCTGTCATTATGAAGTTGCAGAGTCCACAGCCAAGTCACACTGATGTCAAGCCTAATCTGAATTTGGTAGCGAGAGTTTGGAAAGGGCTAACCTCTTGGCACTTCAGTATGCTAATGCTTTAGTAGGCTGTTGAATCATGAAACCTGGTTTTTTTTTGCAGTTTTTTTGTCTTTCTTTGCTCTGGTGGACTCTACAAGCTTTGAATGTTTTTTTCTGCGTTCAAGTAATACATGCACCTTGTGTTCTTATTTTTTTTTAATCTTTTAAACTAGTCTAGTTCCTCTCCGTCCATGAGCAGGTGACCTATCACAAGTTATTTATGAAGTAGATCTCTGTATATACACTTGTTCAAAATCTAAAAGTCCTTTTAAAGAATACCTGTAATTACACTAAAAGACAAAAGGCATCTAAAAGAACCCCTGTATAGTGACACCTTTATTCCAGAATACACCTTAAGGTATAACCGTACAAGTACCTTAAAATGGTGTGCTTTCTCATTTAAGACTACCAAGCGTTTGTTTTCCTCCCCAAAAGATCCTATGGGCTATGGGTTCTTTTTGAATAAGAAGTAAGTGCTCATTTCATATCAGATGAACTAATTATCTTAAAACAAGTCATGTGCCTATTAGTTTAAGTTGGGTGAAATTCTTATGCGTTAGATATTAATTATGGAGTAGTTTTTAATTTTTGTGTCAAATACTGCTATTTGTGCATTAGATATTGGACTTTGTGCTTAAGATACTTGTTTTAGTTTTTCTTATACGTACTGTGTGTTGGATACTTGTTTTTGTGTGTTAGATTTTAGTGGTTGTGTGTGAGATACATATTCTTGTGCAAGCGTAGTAGAAGATGTTTGTTGTGATTTATTGTATGCATATTATATTTATTTTTTAAAACTAAATTATACTACGTATATGACATGTTGATGTCATATGAAAGATAATAAAAAATTCTTTAATTTGATATAATTTTGCTAAAATCATATTATAATTTAAAAAGTTAAATCAATTTTTAAATTAAACACATTTTATATGAATTGACCTTTTATCTCTTTCTAATTTTTTGGTAAGTGATAAGGCTCCAACCGTTACCACATTAAAGGAATTATGAAAATTGCTCTACTGTCCTTCATTAGCCTACCTATGGATTAGATAGTGCAAGAGTATTTATTCAACGTTTGCATCCATGCATGATGCATCTCATCCTTTTATGATCTTTAATTTATTAAGATGTATGGTTAAAAAAAATTCGCTTCTTACAATAAAGATTGTTCTCATTAGAACAACTAAGGATTGTTCTTACAATGATATCTTGTCCATCCAGATGGAGAGGAGGCGTCGTCCGGCCGCTGTTGTTTAGGGCGGTTCCAGATTGAACTTTTTCATAATTTTTTTTTTGAATGTTTCTCATCAACTCTAGTTTATTCACAAAACATTTCAGCTAAAACTTCAATGGTGAAGATAGTCAATTAACTTTTTGAAAATAACTGTGTTTTATATGTATATTTTGGCGGTGACAGTGACACATGCAAGACAGCAGTGACATCCGATAGTGACATGGAAGTGGTGCGGTGACATGAATAACCATCTTAGTCACGTTTTTGTTCAAATGTAATGTTGTCGCTTTTTGGATATAGCTTTAGTTTAATAATATCCAGGGAAAACCCTCATATAAGTAATTGAAGAATTCATTGAGTTATAATTTAGGGTACTTATTCTATGAAAATACAATCTTAAGTTTAATGTATATTTAATTGATAAAAAGTACTAGATTTTGTAAAATATCAAGTAATATTAAAAATATCTTGGACAGTAATCAAACAATTTCCAGATAATATGATGTAAATTCAAAATATAAATGCTTTTGTGATATTAAACTTATTACACTCATTTAGTTTCTAACTTATTAAAAAGAATTCATTGCATAATTAATAAACTCGAAAATATTGTAACAAAAATACAAATGCATTATGCACAAACTCTATGGAGGCTTTACTTCGCTGCTAAAGTCAAAGTTAGGTTAGTACGACACGTGAAGTAAACACGCAAGCTGCTTAAAAAGCCGCTTACTAACCGAAAGAGGTGTTTAAAGTGTCGCTTACTAAACATACCCCCCATCTATTAATTAAGCGGCACTTTAAGCTTTTTCACTTTCCGAATTTACCCTTACCCTTACTCCTTGCCCTTACCCTATTGTTACCCTCTACCCCACCCTGATAAGTTCATATTTTGACACGCATTTGATGCGTGTTGGGATTGACTTTTGATGGTTTTCTTAGCTTTAAGGTGTTCAAAGTCTCAATTTTAGCTCGATTTATGTTTACCAGACATTGGTTCGAGTTTTGTGTCATTTGGAGTCAAAATCAGGAATTTAGAGTCCGACACCGACACTTGAAGAGAAAACGGGATGATTCGAGAAGCATTCGAGAGTGAATTGCGAGAAAACTCACATCACACCCCCACCCCCTACCCCCTAACTCTACCTTATCCCGACCCACCCACCCTGACCCTATCCCGTTCTTGACCCCACCCCCTTTTGCCCCTACCCTAACCCTTACCACCCACCCTGACCCCACCCCCTTTTACCTCTACCCTAACCCTACCCCAACTTGTACCCCTTACCTCGACCCTACCCTTTTACCCCCTACCACCTGCCCCTACCTCGACCCTGATCCCACTACCTCCCCTTCTGACTATACCTTACCCTACCCCCTACCACCTGCCCTAACCCCTACCTTGTACCCTACCCCTTAGTCGCACCCCCAACCCTTACCCAACCCTACCCCTACCACCTGCCCCTACCTCAACCCCACCCCAACCCTACCCCTACTCGTGCTCCTACCCCTACCCCCACTTATACCCCTTACCACGACCCTACCCTTTTACCCCCTATCACCTGGCCCTACCTCGACCCCGACCCCACCCCACCCCATTACCCCTTCTGGCCATACCTTACCCTACCTTGACCCTACCCCTTTACCCCCTACCACCTTGCCCCTACCTCGACCCCACCCTGACCTGAGCATACCCCTTACCCTACCTCGGCCCTACCCCCTACCACATGCCTTAACCCCCACCTCGTACCCTACCCATACCCTACCCCCTAGCCGTTACCACCCCCTACCCCTTACCCAACCCTACCCCTACCTCGACTCCACCCCTACCCTGGACCCACCCCCCATCATCCCTACCCCCTACCCCTACCCATGCTCCTACCCCTATCCTACACCCCACCCTTAGGGTGTAGGGGGTACAAGGGGAGGGGTACGGAGGTTGGTGTAGGGTCGAGGTAGGGGGTAAAGGGGTAGGGTCAGGGTAGGGTTAGGGGTCAGGAGTTAGGGGTGGTGGGGTAGGAGTATGGGTACGCGTACGAGGTGACTCTCACGTATTATATTATTATATATTTGTGTTCATGTATGTTTCTATGTCTATATATGTATAAGGCTATTTTGGACATTTTAATGTTAAACGGTGTTTTAAATCCTTTGAAGTAAACATGAGCTTACAACATAGTATTATTCTAAAAAGTAATAACCATATAGATACTATTGTAAAATTAGAAAGACTCATTGTGGCTTACTAGCACCCATGTTAAACAAAAAAAGCATAACTTTAAAGTTTTAATCATTATTTTAATTACAGTCCTTTAGCTAAACAAGACATAAATCATTTAAAAATATAGGTAGATTTGCACTTGAGAGGCGCTTTATTTTCAAAAATGTCGGTAAAAATTTGAGTTTTTTTAATACTCCCTCCGTCCCTGAATTATCTTCAAACTTTCCTTTTTGATCCGTCCCAATATTATCTCCTCCTTCCCTTTTTGGCAAAGAATTTGTGATTCACAATCATTCTTACACATTTTCACACATTTCTCTCTCCTCTGCACAACTCTTCACCACACAAAATTCACTATCTTAATTAGTGTGCCCGGCCGAAATGGGAGAAAAAACAGGGACGGAGGGAGTATACAAATATGTTTTTTATATCATTTCAATTAAAAATCTAAGTTTATTTTCACATTGTACGGGTAAATTTAGAGTTGAATTTTTAAATATTAAGTATACGCTAATGAAATTTTTGAATAAAAAACTAGACAAAGTTTTATGCTAAAGAAAACTTTTTCAACCCCCTTGACCATAGTTCCTGGATCGTCTCTGGTCTTGGCAAATTATATTATACAATCTGTCGTAGGGTGGTCATCATACAACTGAGTATTTTATATTAAGACGCTTTATTTGCACCTGAGAGGCGCTGATTTTTTAATTTAATACAAAAACTCTTTTTCATTTTATAATTAAAGTAATTGTGAACATGTTCTTTATTAAGTGTAGATTATGTCTCAAAAATTTCATTTTAAATTTCAATCTATAAGTTAGTTAAATAAATTATTGAAAAACATTACGTTTTTATGCATTCTTTGGCGCAGTGTTTTTCAATAATTTATTTCTATGGCTTACTGATTGAATTTTGAACTTAATTTTGCGCACATAATCTAAATTTGATGAAAAAATGCTCATAAAATTTCATAAACAAAACTCAATTTGGAAGCAAATTAGTCTGATATGATTATTTAATTAGTTTATTAATTGTTTCCATTCATATATAGTTGATTGTTTGATTTCTTAATTATTGTTTGTTATTTATTGAGTGTTGATGTTATAATTTGGGGTTTGTTAATTTTGTCAGACGGAAAATATCAATTGTAATTAAATTGATAAATTAAATTAATTTCAAGGTGTGAATAAAAATGATTGAATCTGGATAGGATAAACAAAAGAAGAGGAAAAACTTAGAGAAAACCGCGCTAAGTAAAAATGAATCAATGAAAAAGTTTGTTTGCGTAAAGAAGTCAAATTCTGAATATCTTCAAGATGAAAATTCAGATAAGAAAAATGTTTTAGCAACCGAAAATGAAACAACTTAGAATGATCACATAATTGGAGGTGAGAATTTAGGGTTTGATAATAATAGAGTTTATTCCTTAAATAAGACTAAAATATTGATAAATTATACTCCCTCCGTCCCGAAAAGATTGAGCAAATTTTCTTTTTTGAATTTCTCAAAAATATTTGTCATTTCCATTTAAAGTAAGGAATATGTGGCTAAAATTAATTTTATCTCCTCTACACAAATTTCAACCACACAATTTTTACTTTATTAATCTACGTGAAAGTAAACTTTGGCCAACCTTTTTGAGACGGAGGATTACAAAAAAGGACTATCATGTTTCCTTCAAAAATAAGGACCACTAATTTGATAGTATTATTGATTTAGATAGAAGAGAGTTTTACATTTTTTTAAATGTTTTGATTTTTTTGAATGGTTATTATTATTATTATTAATTTATTATTATTATTACTAATATTGTTATTATTATTATAATAATGCATTTTAGTTTAGAAAACAAAGTTTAACAACTTTTTTAAAATTAGGCCATTTTATTTCCTCCCCTAAGCTCTCAAGTATCACTCCCGTTTGTTCCGCTATGAAGTGTGATCATGAGTCTATCTACTTGTTTTAATATTTTGGATGCGGCTCATGTGGGTTATTTACGCTTGGCGCCAAAACACATGCGGAGTAAAACTTTACTTTGTAGTTCTAACTAAACATCACGAACAATAATTCGATCGCAACAATTTCTGTTTCATCTTTAGCTCACTCCCTCTCTTCATCGCAACTCGCACCATCTGCAACCGCTTCTCAAATGTCGGCTGCAAAAACGAGCACGAAGAAGCGAGTCACGGAATCTGGGCAGCAGAAACCGGAGGTCCGGAAGCGAGTCAATCTCGAGGAGGATTTCGATGCAGATCTCTCCGAGTTCGGATTTTGCTTCGGCTCTTCTTTTCCCGACGGTTATGCTTTTAGTTTTGCCGGATTTTGACAAATTTTGTCTGGAATTGCAGAGATATCAATGTTCTGATGACGGCATTGAAGCAGATAAAAGAGAAAGCTCATAAGGATGACCTGAAGAAGAACGAAGAGACGATTTCAAGGTGAATGTGTAGGGGTTGCATTATCTAGTAAATGAGCTTCAAACATATGATACAATGTACTGATGTTTATGGATTTAGCCAATATACTGATCCAAAACTTAATTAATGATTGGTTTTAACTTTTAAATTGTACGTCCATGTGAAATTGTTATGTACATGACGACAATTTTGAACAATAACTGTCATAGGCCCTACATCGAAGTACCTTAAGATGTGCAAATTGTATTGATGGCTGTGAGTAAGCTATTTTCATGTGAGGGCATCACTGGCCGTGTTCCCAGAAGTGTAAATTCAACAATAATCCTTATGCTATATGTCAAAATAAGTCTTCCAATTCATGCATGATAAGTGTACTTGTTTGTTTGACTGTTTTAGTAATCCTTACATGCTACAGACTGTTTTGGTTAATATCTGCCTGATCTAGTGATCTGTCACTAGATCACTCTTGATTCTGTCTTACGATGAATTTCGTTGACAGCGGTTTTTCACAAATCAAGGCAAATATTGAAGATGTGAAGTCCAAACTCGAAAAGGAAAGGTGAGATGAAGTCCGTCTGCATTCTGTGGCATGTTTTTAGATTGAGCTATCATTTCTGATATCCGCTGGTGCTGCTTTATGTGTATGATTTTTTTCAGGCAGAACTTTGCCAAGGCACTCTCCAAGAGCTCAAAAGAGGTCTGAATCACTAGGATAAATTGTATATGTTGGAGTGTTTTTATGTTGCGCTGCACCTTTATCTTGCCGTTAACAGTATGTGTTCTGATTAACTGCATGAAGTGGGAGAATGTCTTGAAGAATGAAACTGCCAAGTTTGAAGGAATCTATGAGAAGTTCAGCAAGGACAAGGCTACTCATCTGCAGACTCTGAAAGGTGTCTCTACCTATTCTGTTTTCCACAGATTCCTGTTCTGATTTTCAGAAATTACAAGGATAGTTTTGTGAAAATAGTTTTTCATGCAATATCGACTCATTGAAATTTTAAAATGAAAATATGCCGACAGAAGCTTATGGTTCATATATGTCAGTCATTAATTAATAGAAGTACTGACTGTAACATTCAACAGACACTGTGTCCAAGTATGAGGAAGAAAAACTAAGGCTGTTCACTCGATATGAACAACAAAGTGAGTAAAGACATGGTTTGTTTTCTTCATTTAAGCTTGTGGGGAAGTAAGAGACTCACTCATTTTCCCGACTGAAATCAGGGAAGAAGGAAAAGAACATGTTGTCTGAACTTGAGAAAGACACTTCAAAAAGATTGGGTGAACTCGAAGAGTCATTGAAGAAGAAGAAGAAACAGGTGAACTATGCATTGACACTCTTCCTTCCGTGCCATCCTCCTCCACAAACTCAAACTCTTATATATGATTATGTTCATTTTCTCCTCAGGATGATAGAACATTTAGCACTCTGAGGAAGAAACTTGGTTCGTTCCTGGACAATGCATCAGATGAGGACTTCCTACTTGATGAGTAAAAGGCTGAGGAGTCTTCCTGAGAATAACCTCTTTGGATATAATATAATATATACATATATAATAGTTTTGCACAGTTTTGTGGATCTCTAGTTATTCTATTGTCATTTATGATTATAGTTTTCTACAATGCTTGTCGTACTTAAAGCAAGCTTTGGACAAACTGGTTTCGTTCCCACGGTGAGTGGTCATTTATTATGTTTTCATGTTTGATTGGAGTTTTAGATATCAGAGACTAATGAAATATTTTCCCTGTTAATCCGAATGTATTCGGTTGTTCATTCAACTGTAGAAATGCTTTTGTAATTAAGTCCTGATTAATTTGGGCATACATTATGTCCAAAAGAGTAAAGCAACGTTTAGATCTCAGAATATGATAGAGAAAATTAACCCACATATGACTAAAATTTAATGTGTTTCCCAAAATATGACTTCTATCTTTTTTCTTCCCAATATGATAGTGTTTCGTATGTATAAAACTAATATTTAATCATATTTTGGGATGTACAAAAGTAGTAGTCATATATTCTGAAATTGTCAATGTTTTAGTCATATATTAGTAAATATCCCGATAGAGAAAATTAATGGAAGATATTTAATGACTGGAAACTACATGCGTTGATGTGAAGATATTTAATTTTATTTGATAATGCATATAAATTTAAAGTCAGAAATGCTCAGGTCCAGCGGTTCGGACAGGGGTAGGGTTGGACTCAGGCCGGGTCAACCGGCCCGGAACTGGACCGGCCCGCTACTGTGCGGGCTCGGACCGGCCCGGTGAACCGGTTGGTTGGCCGGTTCGGGCCACCCGGGCGGTTCGGGCCCGAGCCGTGCCAATTTATTTATTTATTTTTTTTTTTGAATTTTTTTTTAGTTTTTGGGTTGGGCTGGGTATTTTGGGCCATTTGAGGTGGTTAGGGTTGGTTTGGGGGTGAGGGGGAGGGTTGGTGGTTAACTAGGAAAAGCCAAAAAAAAAAAATAGAACAGAGGCCCGGCCCGGACCTGGGGTTACCCGGGCCTTGTTTTGGGTGACCCGAGCTCGGACCGGAAAACCCACGGGCCGGGCCTACCCGGACCGGTCACTGACCGGGCCACCGGGTCGTGGTACGCAACTTGCAAATGGTGCGGGGAAAAATGTAGCATGGGGGTTTCAGGCGGATACGGGATGGCAATGAAGCATATGAAGTCATGTGACAAAGCCAAAGGATCGGGAGGTGAGGGAAGTGGATTTTGCTCCTCTCCATTAACTGGAATGGTCGAGTAAGAGAGAGATAGAGAGAGTGAAACAGAAATGGAGAGAGTAAATGGAGAGAGGGAAATGGAGAAGAGTATGACCCGCGGGAAGTTCCGATTGATTACAATTTTCAAAATGTTTCTCTTGAAGTTTGTTTTAATTTTCAAATGTAGTTCCTATTTCATTTCAAATAAATGCACTTGAAATTTGTTTTTAATACTTGTATAAAACTATAAACTATAAAATATAAATTATAAAAAAAAAACTTTAACCAACCCGGCCCGACCCAGCGGGTGGCCCGACCCATGACCCGGGCAGGTGACCCGGCCCGAACCGGACCCGTCCAACCCTCGGGCCGGTCCCGGGCCCATGTCATACAAACCGGCGGCCCGACCGAGCCTAGGCGCGGCCCGAGCCCGACCCGGCCCGAGTCCATGACTACGCCCCGCCCCTCCCCGCCGGTTCAGGTCTACACCCGGTCCCGGACCGCTCGACCGGGCCGGGCCGGGTCACGAGCCGGGTGGCCCGAACCGAATCCACCCCTAGTTCATCGTGAGATGCATATATTTGTACCTAAAAAGTGAAAAATCAATCAGCACAAAATGATGCGGAGTCAGTACAAAGTACTACCTCCGTCCTTTAAAACTTTGCCAAAGTTGACTGACACGAAGAATAATAAAGTAAAAACTGTGTGGTTGAGATTTGTGCAGAGGAGAAAGAAATAACAGAAACCACAAAATAATTGATTAAAAAGGAAAGTGGCAAAGTTTTTTGGGACGTCCCAAAAAGGAAAGATGGCAAAGTTTTAAGGGACGGAAGGAGTATACGTTAAGACTGAAGTTGGATGCCCTTGACAATTTTAATGTTGGAAGACAAAATAGCCTTTCTTGTAAGAACAGCAAACATAATAATACAAATGAAAATAAAAGTAAAACATCCATCTGTCTATGCCATGCAATATATAAACTTTATACATCAGTTGTTTCCTTAAAGACGTGAATGAATGAACTACAATTAAAACCCATAAAATAAAAGGCTCAAGGCAGCTTTCTTGACTTCATCACTTCTTTCACCACCGCAGGAAGATTTTTTTGTTAAAGGTCCTGCAGGAAACCTTGTGGCACTTCTTTTCCCTCAACAGAGGAATATGAATGATTAATCAAAGCTCATTTCTTCTTTTGGTTCTTTGCTTGCTTGACATCCTTAGTAAGCATTCTTGGTGCAATGGCCATAGCCATGAGCTCTTGAAACAACAATTTGCACGCATAAGGAATGTGAACCTGAAATAGGAAATCCAGAAAATCTCTTTATTCGCATCCCCACAACAGATGAGATATAGAAAGGGGGAATAACTGAATAAGGAACGAAACAAGCACACCACAAACAAGTTTAGTTTATACCTGGACAATATCAGTCTTGTTCTTGCACCCCCGGCACTCAAAAGAGCTCTTCTTGAGGTTAGCTATAGCGATCAACCCACAATGCTCACAAACATGGACCCGATATGCATCGCTCTGGTCAAACAATCTCTCCTTAAGAAAATGAGCTGCGCCATGCGCAATCATGCAATCACGTTCCATCTCCCCAAATCGGAGCCCGCCATCACGAGACCGGCCCTCAGCTGGCTGCCTTGTGAGGATCTGAACTGGACCCCTACCCCGAGAATGAATCTTGTCATCAACCATATGCTTTAGCCTCTGATAATATGTGGGCCCAATGAATATCATAGCCGTAAGACGTCTCCCTGTGTGACCATTATACATGGTCTCAAACCCACGCATCTGGTAACCACACTCGTGGAGAGTTTTGCTGATCTTGTCAACACTGACATCGGTGAAGGGAGTGGCGTCTCCTTCTTTCCCCATGTGGGCTGCCACTTTCCCCATGATACACTCAATCAGCTGACCGATGGTCATACGGGAAGGGATAGCGTGTGGATTGACGATAATGTCAGGAGTGATGCCTTCCGCAGTCCAGGGCATGTCTTCTTGGGTGTAGGTCATTCCGACCGTTCCTTTCTGACCGTGCCTACTGCTAAACTTGTCACCAATCTGAGGTATCCGGACTGATCTAACTCTCACCTTCACAAACCTTAACCCATCGGCATTTGTGGTCAGCAAAACCTGGTCAACCATACCAGTCTCACTGTGGCGTAAACTGGTACTGTGATCACGCTTTGTGTAACGGGCGGCTTGCCCCTGGGCGTCGTCCGGTGATATTGGCGTAGTTTTTCCTATAATCACATCCTCGCCAGAAACTCGGGTTCCAGGTGGGGCCAAACCGTCATCATCCAACTTATCATAGGAACCATGCCTCATCCCCATAGTGTTTGATCTGTCAGGGCGCCCGAAATCCTCTTTCACCAGTGTCCCCATCTTTTTCTCTTCATCTCGATAAGAGCGAAAAAATAAAGACCGGAAGAATCCACGGTCTATGGATGACTGGTTCATGATGACGGAATCTTCTTGGTTGTATCCTGAATAACAGGCAATGGCAACAATCGCATTGATGCCTGCAGGTAATTGCCTGAAGTGCAAGTGTTCCATCGCTTTAGTAATTACAAGTGGCTTTTGAGGATAATACAGCACATATGCCAATGTGTCCTGTCAAGATTTAACCACAAAAAATGAACAGATTTTATGAAGTTCATGTCTGGTGAATAGAGTTTGCAATAATTCAAATACCAAACAAATAAAAAATACGTAGTAAAAAGTAATATCATACCATGCGAAATTGGTAATTGGTCACATAAATTCCCATTGCCTGCTTACCCATAGCTGACTGATAAGTGTTACGGGGAGACTGACAAGAATTAACGGTTCTTTAGATAGTGTACAAAAACATATATATGCATATGAGGAGAGGTGAGGGATACAAGTAGTGAAATGTAGTACCTGGTTGTGGTCAGGAAATGGAATAATAGACGCACAAACACCCAATATTAGTGAGGGGTGGATTTCACAATGTGTATATTGAGAGTAAGCATCCCCTGGATTGTTTCTTGCTTGTACAAGATCCTAGATAGAAAAAAAGGATACACTTGTCAGCAAATTTAAATCTTAAGTGGCATTCAACTTGCCTTGGTAAACAACCATGAGTTGTTAGCTTCTTTTATTATGCATTAAGGATATGTTTCTTAAGTGTGTTTTGGAGGGAGGCAGAACTTTCTTATAAAGATAAATTTGCTTTTACTTTATTCCTATTCAAAATAAAAGATACCACGTGCAAAGAGATAAATTTGGAAAAACTCCACGCAAAACATTTATATATTCAGCATAAACCAAAGATGTGGACTTCTCTTAAATAATTTTGAAATTAAAAAATAACTGCTCCCCCCTCCCCCCCAATAGAATACACCCTTCTATAACATACCCTAATTGTCATGCTTATCATAGTTGTTTCTTCCTCTTCAGTATCGATGTACTCGATATAGCCCTTGGCCACCAAATCATGCCAACCACCATCTTCTGGACTTTCCTGGTAAATGAGGAGAGAAAAATGGACATGTGAATAATTTCAAAAGAGATGACCATACGTTAAAAAGGGCCTACAAATATTAGTGCTAGTGCAACCTTGGAAGAGCACTTCTAAATGCAAGTAGTTTCTCTATCACTATTTTTCTATGCCCAGTCTGTCTCATTCATTCAGTAATGTTCTTGAGAAAATGTGCTCTGGAAGTCAATCCATATAAGAACTTCATATTTTTAAACAAATATACACAGGAGAGGTATTTGAAAGACCTCTAATCATATTCAAAAACCTGTTTATGCACCCGCTGTATATGAATTATTCAACAAGAGCACTTAAAGTTCATGGTCCACACTAATGATTTGAGTATTTGACTAGCCCTACTCCTAAATCTTCCAAAATGGTTTCTTCATGTATCACTAACAATAGAGCTTAGCCCAATGATATGCCTGTAAATAATGACAGAAATACCCTTAATTGCAATGCTTGTATGTCTCTTTTCTTAATGAGAAGCCTTTGGTTCTCAACAATAAACAATGGACGACTGCATCGGCCATAGTCAGTGTAAATACGTAGTTCCATTAAACCAACATCTCGGACCACTCCCACCTCAGTATTTACATCAACCTGGAATGTGCCATATGAAAAAACACAAGGACTTCATTAGAGAGCATTAATAAGCTGCAACAAAAAAACAGGACTACAGAGGTTAAGATTTTCAGGTCACATGGAGGATATTTACTATTTAGATGCAAACAAGACAGCAAATCTACTAATAACCTAATCAAATATCAAAGGTATTCAATACAGCCGTCGGATTTTGATTTAATTATTTACTCTAGTAGCGTTTTCAAAGGGAAGCCTTGGCGCACCAGTTAAGTTAAGGTGTTGTTGTATGACCGATAGGTCATGGGTTCAAGTCTTGGGAGCGGCCCCTTGTCATTGCTCCTAATACACCACCCTTGTGGTGGGACCGTCCCCCGGACCCTCACCTTGCGAGGATGCCTTCGTGAACCGGGCTTCCCTTTTTACTCTAATAGGATTTTCACGGTTTTAAGAACAAAGTTGTAGCGGTAGTGAACAGTAGATGAAAGAAGATGAGAAGTTTGAAAATGTTCAAAGGTAAGAACGAGAAGATGAAAAGGTAAAATTATTTATGTATCTAGATAATGTAAAACTTTCTGAATTAGGAAAGTAGAGCAAATTGTAAAAAAAGCATCCCAAAAAATACGGAACAAATAATAAAAATAGGATTGAGGGGTATTGCTGATTAGAAGGATGAAATTACACTTGGTGCTATTTTAGATGAACGCCTCAAAATTGAGTCATCCATAATTTCAAGGGAAAAGTGCCACACTATAAGTGTGTTTAATATGAGCCACGAAAACAGATACTCACCCGTCTCCTTAATTGTCTGAGTGTTCTCACCAACTTCTGAGGGTCACGGTGAATCCCAATCCATGTGCCATTGACAAATATTTTTGTAGAGTTTGGAATGACAGCAGGAGATATTTCCTAAAACCATACAGCAACTTAGTGCAAACTAATGCACAATATAAATGTTACATCCGCACCTTCGAATCAACATTTACTAACCTCAAAGTTTTCAGTGCCCCATTCTTCCAAAAACTCCAAAATTGGATATGCTGCTGATCCAACGGTTATATACACCATCAGTGCTAGATTTTTCACCAGTCCGCACGCCTAATGACATCACGACAAGACCACAATTGATTAGGCAGAAACAAAGAAGAGCCCCCCGGCATGCACATATGAAATCCAAAATACCACTGACTTGTCCTTCTGGAGTTTCTGCTGGACACATCATCCCCCATTGAGAATTGTGCAATTGCCTTGGCTTCGCTAGTTTCCCTATTAAAAAAAAACCATAGTGATGGTAAATATTAGGTGTGAGAGAGAGTTACAAACATAACACAAGGCACCCACTATATTCATATGTCCCCTCCTACACCTTAAATGGAAAAGGGAGGAAAGAAGACATGAAATTAAAAGAAGCAAAAGAGAAAGAGGAGCATGACAAGGCAATTCATATACAGAAATTAACCTGATATTATTTAAGAATAAATAGGACAACAACTCAAAGGGGCAAGTCAAATACCTTCACGGCCTATGGGAGAGTTCAACCTTCTCAAGTGTGACAAAGTTGAGGCATATGTCAAGCGATTCAACACCTGATAATAATAGCACAATAGCACAATTACTTTTTTGAAATATGAGATATGGAATTCCAAAATAGGACTAGTATGTTTTTCTTCCCGAAATAGGAGTTGTTACTGTCATGTATGAAAAATACTGCCATGATTGAAAAATATTGTCATTAATTATAATAAATATTGTCATGTTAAATGCACTGTACTACAACTATTTGGCAGTCACGCCTACAAGATGACAGTAAATAATGCCATGTTAGTCTCATTTCAGGAATAAAAACATAGTAGTCCTATTTTGGAATTTCAAACTCCATTTGGTCCTATTTTGGGAAATCTCCCTAAGAAAATTGATAGCACAACTTCAAAAAAATTAAATGAAATATGGCCTAACCTGAGAAACACCAGCTCTGGTACCTGCCGCATTAGCTTGTCCCCAGTTTCCAGTAGCAAGTGAGTACTTGAGACCACTTGTAATGGTTTTTGCTTTGATTGCAAATTGCAGATTAACATCTTTTCCATTGTCAACACACTGAGATACAAATTTCAATAAGTCGGGACAAAGTTTAAACAAAACTGTTATTGTTGTCATTGATAAACATAGTAAGTGAGATGATTACAATTGAAACTAAGTACTAAGTACATTATTTTAGAAGAGAAATAAACCTTTTGAACATAAGATCTAACATCCCGAGTTAACTTCCTGAAAAGCTGCATAATTAATGAAACTCATATATTAAAAAATATTATGTTAAATAGCATACAAATATCGACACAAGAAATTCAACACACCATCCGGAATAAACCACCGAGCAAAGGACCGGCAAGATCCAATCTCTTGTTTCCATAATGATCCCTATCATCCTCGGCCCTTTGGCCAAGTGCACACAATAGAAGCCTGTGGATGATGTAGCTGACATATACAGAGAGTAATCTCCTTTTAGAATGCACTGTCAGTACCCCCTCCCCACAATAGAATTAAGGTTAACTGGATACCTACCCAAAATAAAACGCTTTCTTTGTCTCACAATATTCCCCAACCCCAACATGAGGAAGCATTTCTTTCTGAAGAATATCTTTAGCATACCTATAAGGTACAACCAAGAAGGATCGATGTGAATTATACTCAACAAGGTGCAACACAGATAAAGTTAAGATTATGCATACTTTATTCTCTTCTCCTTTGAAACACCACCTACAGTGGCCCCTCTTTTACCAATGTAATCCAGAGCGACCTGAGTACATAACCCCCATTAATACAAGTGGGAGAGTAATGGAACTTGCAGAATTCACCCTAGCTCAACAAAGTTAACATCAAAGAAATAAAGCATAAAATGCCATAGCAGGGACCTGTTGATTCTGAATTACAAAAGCTTCTTCCAAAGAGGGCCGTAGCAGCTCCATCATTTCTGTATTGTCAAAATCATAGCAAATATGTTCGAGAATATCTTTGTCTGCCACAAAACCTAAAGCTCGGAAAACAATTATAATAGGAATTTCCGTCCTGATATATGGAAGTGTAGCTCGAATATACTGCCCTGAAGAACCCTGTTATAACATACATGCAGATGAAAGTAGTTGAATACAGATGTACTGCCTATGCAAAGCAACAATGCATTAAACAAAAAACTCAAGTGTACCATTCATTTTCTCCTCGTATATTATTAGTGTTAATTTTTTATATTTTTTGTGTTAATGGTAATTTTGCTGCATACCCCTTTTGCACTAGTTCGTGAGAGCATCCGAACAAACATAGTACTGGGTGGCCTGTTCTGAGATTCTGCCATTGACCGGACTTCTGCTACATATGCATACTTGTTTGGTTGCCTCTTTTTAAAGACATAGACGTGATTAGTGCTCATCTTTTCCTGAGCAATCAGAACCTTTTCACTCCCATTAATTATGAAATAGCCACCTTGATCATACGGACACTCCCCGAGTTCAGTCAGATCTTTCTCTGAATTTTGATACAATGTGCAGTAACTCGATCTAAGCATTATAGGAACCTAAATGTCCAGAAACAAACAAGTTAGATCCAACCCAACCATATGAAGTTAAGGTGACAAATTCAGAAACTCCAAAAGTCCTGTATAGTGCATTCACCTTCCCAATGAAAACTTTAGTGAAGTCCTGAGTTTCAGTAACCTCTTCACCATCATGCCCTTTCTTGATGACTCTCTTTGTCACATCCACATACAGCGGAGCAGAGTATGTAAGATTCCTCAACCTTGCAGCCTTTGGGAACAAGGTTGCAGTTTCACCATCTGACTCTGTCATCATTGGTTTACTAAGATAGATTTGCCCGAAATTGATTTTGTAGATAGTCTGCAAAACAAATCCATATATTAAGCTAATTGTTACTCACACGTTGAGACTTGAGAGAGCAATATGTTCACATTAATTATAAAACATAACAGTTACTTAAGGAAGGTTACATATGGTACCAAAATTAGATAAAGTAACACTTCTGTAACCAAAATGGGATTGTTATAACTCTATCAACCAGTCACCTAGCAATACATAAGTTCCTTATAAATCAGGGACAAAAATAAAAGTACGCAGTTCCAACAAGTACAGTACATTCCCTTCTTTATGTTAAGTTCATACATCCTTACATTGTCTGTCCTCAACTAGAAGCTAACAGTTACACTTAATTCGTAACTTTTGTGTATGACACATAAGCTTATACTGTTGAGGAGGGAAATTTCTTTCAGTGGCATATGCAGCTGTAAATCTCGTTCATTATATTTTAACAAAAAGAATCACTCCAAATATGCAGCAAATAGACTGTGGACGAATAGACATTTGAGATCTAGTTTAGAAAAATCCATTGAATGCACCAAATGCCTGCTATTCGTGGAGTATAATCTAGTTTTGACCATAGATGGTGTTGAACACTATCCATAATCCTGCCACCAAAACCAATGTTTATCCCGAAAAACACCTCAGACTTCTATAGCAGGTAACGGGTATATGCTTCATTTTCCATCTAATATACATTGTCCATTGTAAACTTTGTTGCATAACTCATACATACATGCTATTCAAGCTGATAATTTGGCCAATTGTCACACAAGACCAACGAACAAGATTGGAAACATTTACTATTACTTTTTACATACAACTAAGCAGTACAATTACTTTCAAGATCCGCCATTATATTTCAACCCTAAGTAGAATCTAGGTCTAAATGAACTGAAGACGCCATGAAGAAATGGTGATTATTCATGAAAGGCATCAAAATCAACTGTTCTGGGCTTTTGGTTGTGCAATTTATCCTGAACGCCCTAGATGTCGGACTACGTAATTGAGCTGAAGGATAGCACTAGAAGTCTTCAAAAACAAAGTTGTCAACCTCATCGGTAAACAGTGGTACTTTTCCATGAACCCTATGAAACTTAATTACGACCGACCTCAGCGAAATCAGACTGATGACCGGGGTTATGCTGAGACTCGGGTCGGATCTCAATATCAGCAGACTCGTCGACAATCTCCTGCATAGTATTCTGGATGAACTCATCGAAGGAGTCAAGTTGTTGCCTGACCAGACCTTTCTCTTCGAAGTATGCACTTATGACCGCCCACGCGTCTTCCTGCGTTATCTCCTCCTCCTCATCGTCGTTATACTGCTGATCATATTCATCTTCCAAATCCATGTTTTAAATCACTTAACTATCTTATTCAATTTACGGTTAAATCTTCCTTTTGATCGAGATCAGTGTCTTTCGCCGAGTATTCTCCTGTTGGGAAGGAAGAACGGCGTATTTTGAGATTTAGGGAGAATGGGGAGGATACAAGGGTATTATATAGAGGTATTGAGCGGATGAGGTCAAGTGAGAGTATAGGGTGGGAAGTGGGAACCTTGAAACCGGAACCGTAAAACCGATTGGAACCGAACCGTTATAACTCGATTTGGTTCAATTCCTACAAATGTGGTTCCTATTTGATTTCTATAAAAAACATGTGTACGGAATCGTTAAGAAACCGTTACTTAAAAATAAAAATAGTAATTGTAGGTAGTAATAAAAATAACAATAATATTAACAATAACAATAGTAGTACAATCAATGATATTTAGCCAAAAATTCTAACTTAACCAACGGAAAACAAAACTAATCAATATTGCACATAAGATTGAATACGTTAAGCTCACTTTTACAAAACCAAGTTTTGTTCAACCACATCTCTAACATATTATAAAAGGAAATTTTGTTAGGGGTTTAACGGTCATAAAAAAATGTTGGTGTCTCTTCATGTATGATGTGATTGTACTTTATATTTATTTTGTTGTACTGTGTTAATGTATCCCAGCTTAGGTTACTAACGGAGGTTGAATGCCCCGTATACTTACGGAGGAATAAATCTGGTCTTTTATTACCTATCGCAGCTTCCACTCTTCCGTTTCAGCCTCTCCACGATTTTCTTTTATTTCCTGCACGATGAAACCCCTCAGATCCACTTTTCCGTTTCAGCCTCTCCACATTCTAGCCTCCATAGTAATGGCATCGGAAAATCAGTTTACTTTCTCCATAAGTTGTTCAGCCGCCCCTCTGTTGTTCTACTACTCCATAAGTTCCGATTCTCTGTTCCTCTCTAGACCAGACCCAAGGCCCAAACATTCCTCTCTCGCTTCCTCTCTAGCCGCACAACGACATCCCGTCGCACATCGCTCGCATCATTTCGTCTTCTTCGGCATCACTCTTCTCCTGGTGTGTGTTCTTTTCTTTTTAGTTATTGTTTTCCACTTTGTTTCCACAGGCTGCACAAACACACTACACATGTTATATCCGATCACTCAATTTTGTTGTTGTCTGAACCATTTACATACTGTGAGGTTTAAAGAGAATGATTGGTAAACAAGAATATAGGCCGAAATAGGTAACAGATTGGTCAATTCTTTACTGTGAGGTTTGGTGACTGGTCCAAGAACCATATAGTAACTTAGTAACCCCAGCCTGATCCTGAACCCTGTTGGGTTGTCGATACTGCGACTCTGTAAACTATATAGTAAACCACAAAGGGATGTGAAGAAACTAATTAAATATCGAATTACCTTTGATTAAATCTCGAACATGTGGTGTACTTTTGTAGTTCCATGATTGCACAATTGAATGCTACCAACAAACAGTTAGTGTGTGAACTTAATTTAGGAGGCAAACTGATTCACACTAGGTGCTTGTGAATATGCCTAAGTGGTATTTTAGACTATTTTGTGTTTCCTGTAGAATTAGGACAAACAATCCTATCCTATGTAATAGCTCAGCCCTGGTTTTTTATTTTTTATATTCTGATGAGATTGTAATAATTGGTACCACCTCTTAATTGTAGGAAAACAGGCCATATTTATAATTTTATATAGAATAATTTTTTATTCTGATGGCCTAATTCATACTAGGCCATTTTTACAGTAACCCGTTAATTAATTAATACTCACTGACCCATTTTTCACACGGCCCAAAACCAGGGCTGAGAGGCTCGGTTTACCGAGTGATGCCACTACACTCTTTTTATTCAAAGGTCTTTGATCTAGGAGAGTGCAAGTTTCATCCTTACATTGGTCCATTTTTTTAGTAGGTGTGATGTGAATCCAAGTTTGTTGCTTAGGCGGGTATGTTGTGTGTTACTTAAATTGTGTTGTAATTTTCTTTCATGACATGCTTAAGCTAAAACGTGTATGAGTCATTATTAAAATAATCATTGTTCTAATTATTATGCCTGTCAACTGTGTATACAAATACTCCACTAGATTAGTTTTTTAAATGATCATGCTTGTTTTCCATCTTTCCTTTAGGTGTGTACTAAGTTATACTCCATATTAAGGTGATATTAAATGATTTCAATTTTTTGGAACCCTTCCCGAACCACATTGTGATGATCCAATTGTGCACCTGTGTATCCTTTTTTATTAAATGAAATAAAATTTAATTTAGAACTTCTATTAGTTATAACTTGTAAGAATAAATTTGCATTCTATAAACTTCTATTTGCCCACATTAAAAATAGAACACAATGTGTGGAACTATAAATTCTCTGCAATACTATAAGGGTGAATAAGGGTATGGGTATTTTGGGTAAACAAAATGTGTTGGTGTACCTTTACAACTATATGATATTGTACACTATCCGAAACATATTGTATGTATTTACTATTATCCTCCTCTTCCCGTTTTTACATCTGAGGGGCTGACTCCATCCATTGTTCTTCCTTGCGTCCTCTTCAGTTACTTTGCTCTCTAGATCAATGGATTTATGGGTACAACAAAGTAAATGGATGACTAACAGCAGACGATGTGAGACCCAATTGATCTTGACTTGCGGCGAGTCGGCGACTGACGTAGGGAAAAACATGTCTAGGGCATCATTTGAGGCTCCTGTCTAGGGCAGTTCTGGAACTTCAAGAGGGAGAAACATGTTACAAGAAGAAATTAGTCGCCTCTTGATCATCTCCCCCGTGAGTAATTTAGCATTTCGACTTTAAAACCTTATAGTCAACTTTATTTTCATTTTGATTGTTTAATTTTTTGCCAATTCGTGTACTACTTAAGGATATATCATTTCTGGATTAGGATTTTCTTTCATTTTACAAAGTTTTTGCTCTCACTTGACATATAAATTTGACTTCCATTACAGAATATGAATACAATACTAAAAGGCTTGGCTTGTGAAGTACTACTATTTTTTTTAGCAAAAAGGCTTCTATCTGAATGGTATTACATTATTTTTCATTAAATCTTATAAAAGTATTGTGTGGTTTTCCTTTTATTTATGAAGTTTTGCTTATTAAACATCATTTGGGGTGAATTGAAGACTTAGAACTATACAAGTTAGCTCCTAGCCATATATAATTTAAAAGCTTTTAAAAGCATGTATATATACTAATCACTTTTAATGAATTAAACCAACCTCATAACCAAACAAGACTTAATCTTGGTTGAAAAGTGTTTGATAGTTTCATCTACTAGCAAACTCAATTTCCTTCCCATGATATTCCACTATTCCTTATACTACCACTTGGATTCTATTTGATTGGTACGGAGTATTATGTTAAGAAAATGATTGATCATATTTACTTTCTGTTGAGGTAATTTCTGTGGAGGTAGTTTCTGTGGAGGTATCTTTGAGCATTTCTATTTCTTCCAATGTTGTAGGCCCTAGATTTTGAACGGGATTTTATTTACTCAACTTAATCAGTCATAAGGTCTAATATTTTGAAATTTAGCTGTCCCTTAGGTAATCCTCTTAATAGCAGTTTAGAAGATGACATACTACCCATTTGTACGATACTCAACTTATAGTTTATTAAACTTTACCACATCCTATTAGTGTGGCAGCTATCTTCTTGCTGAAATATCCACATAAAATCTTTTATTTCAGTGTAATAACTCACTTTTTAAAATAAAAAGAGTGCCCATGACTTTTTAAAACAAATCATAGTTGCAGCATAGTTAGAACTAAGATTAAAGGTAAAATTGAAAAGTGCCATGCTTAGGTTTCATATATACTCCGTAGAATTTAATGTCCTAACTAACTCAGGAAGACTACAAAATTTAGATTTACAAATATGGACTTCTTTATGAAGTACGTTGTGCCATTTTCAGCCCTTGATACATCAACATATAATGGTATGTACTATGTAGCCTCTTTCTTTACATCCAAAACTGTTGAACCTCAGAAAGTTAAATGACAATAAATTATGCAGAAAAGAAAGTAGTTCAACACTAATTTTCTGTTTGAACCTCAAAAAGTTAAAAGATTGTAAATTATGCAGCAAGGATGAACTAAAGAATGAAATAAAGCTTGGTGAACATATAAGAGTCCAAGCTTATTAAATTGATAATAGAATTTCATTCTTAATAGAAAGTAATGAACTTGAAACTAAAACTAATTTAATTAAAAGTATCAAATGTAAAAAACTGGAAAATAGTTAAAAAAAAAATTTCAGAATAAAAGATAGCAATTAGGTATTCTGTATGTTTTCTACTTTTTGGTGTTTTAAATGAACTCTCTTGTTTCATTCCGCATTACTATGTATAAAATAACTTTTCAGCAGGAAAACATAAAATGTCCAAACTGATACATGCGATTTAATTAAACACTCTGTTAGTATCAATTTCAGTTTTCCACCTTTTAAAACTTTTTTTAGGCTGGAGAGATTGTTGACAGTTTGAGCTCAGTGTGTTTCATCTGTGGATGAGATAATTTTTCACGTTACATTGTACCTATCTATAGCTTGTCTGCTGTTTTAGTTAACTCTTTCATGTTTTAACTTTGTACCTATACGTAACTATTATGTTTAACCCTTTGATGCAGGAAAGCCATGATTGCTATCTTGAAAGATTCCTCCTAAAAAGGAGATACTATAATAGTATTATACCTCAAGTGTTTAATTACTTATATAAACAATAAGATACTTATATGCAATGGGATTCAGGTGATTTTGAAAGGTCGGGTAGTAAAATGTGGCATAATAATTAATAAATCTTTTTTACAACAGTTCTTTTGTTCTCACCTTGTCATAACTTCTTAATTTTTTCGTCGCAGGCAAAGATTGTAAATAAACATAACCACTCAATATGCACATCTCAAGAACCATCTGCTTTGTGAAACCAGTAAAGTTTAACTCTTTCTTCTGTTGCAACATGAAAAACTAGAATTTAACTCCTTGCCCATACTTGTCCATTTTCTATATGATCTGTATACCCAAATTTATTATGATCCATGATAGAAAGTTGGTTGCGCAAAAAAACTCCTTTATAACTAGATAGCTTGCTCC